TCCAACAGCCCAACCTTTGAGACTTGCTTTACTATTGCTTCATCTAGTGGCAGGCGAAGATCACTGGTATCTGTTGTACACATCCTTTATTAAATATGATGCATTTAGTTTTAGCTGAGTTTGATACTTATTTATTCGGTTTTATCTCTTTACAGGCAGATCAGAAACTGATGTCCACAAAAAAGAACAGTATTGTCAGCATACAGTATACTGGAACCTATTAACAGACAATGGGGAAATGGGGAATTTTGAATGGGGAACTCTGTGTACTCCGACGTCGAGAATCAAGAATCCACCTTTCGTATTCCATTTTGAGAGTTTTTTAAAGTGTTTAACAGAGACGTTAGCACCTCGACGTCGGAGTACACAGAGTGAAGCGAAAAGACTACAACTGTGTAAACAGGCCCCATTTCCGTTTCCGGTGGCAGGGGAATATTGACTATTCCAACAGAACTCAATGGGATTTACAAAATGCTAAATAAAACACTACAGGAACGTTTTTTCTTTACGAAACTTTTTTTGGAACGTCATTGAACAGCGCTGACGACCCGGTGAGTAGCATATTTTAAAAAAAGAACGTTTAAGGTCGTTTAAGGACATTATCGGACATGCACAATGGAAGCCATTCTAAAGCAGCCAGGGGGGGATTCTGCATGAGCCAAAAAGCAGAGACAGGACCAATTGTCAAAATTTTGGTGTCGATCATTCGATTTCATCCTGGACACTACAGAAAATGGGCTAAAAGTGTTAAAAACCGGAATTCTCCTTTAACTGTTTATCGGGGCCACCTCTCGAGCAGTGAGCCTGGTTGGTAAGCAGCTGCCTTCTGTAACTCTAAGCAACTTCCCTGATCCGAGTAAGATAATTTCTATCAAAATCTGTTATGTCTAATGGTTATATAATACATAAACTCTATTCAATTCACTTCAGTTTAATTCTATAGTGCCAATTCACAACACATGTCATCTCAAGGGACTTTACAGTTCAACAGATCATCCAGTCAAACTGATTCAAAGTTTTCTATCTAAGAAAACCAGTTGATTGCATCAACTCATTGACACCAGGGCAATCCCTTTAAACTAAGCATGCTTGTAGTGACAGTGGAGAGGAAAAACTCCCTTTAACAGGAAGAAACCTCCAGCAGAACCACAACCATTATGAAATGTTATTTAAAGAGTTTATCTAGAGTGTTCTCTTTTCAGGAAAGCAAACCAGAGGGAGAAAGCTTCAAGATGTAGACACAGTTTGCCTTTATCAACTTAAAGAGAAAATCAGGAAGCCTGCAAAAGAGGTTTGTCTCTACTCAACCTGTCAAAACACATTTTTCTTTGGGAAAGGAGAAGTGCAAAAGCCAGAGACGCTTTCGAGAGCGCAGCCTTCGTCAATCGTGACTGCTGGATAGAAAATCGTGCGCTCGATGAGATCCCGAGCATGATCCCAAGTGCGCGTTGAGTTGGCGTGCCCAGAGAACAAATTTCTCCTCTCCAAGCGGCAGTTTCTCACACGTGTGAATTTGTTGTGCGGTGGTAGATGACCATGCGCAGAAGTAGTTTAACATACATGTGAGGATGTTTATTTTGCTAACAGGGGTTTTAAAATAAATGTGACACCATAGAGTGCCCAAAAATGTCCATGCCGTGGCCCAAAACAGCAGGGTCCATTTCACAACTTCAAAACTTTAAGACAAAAATCTACTTTTTAAATGGTTTTTTTTAGCCATTAAGATAAAACCTTAATAGTTAAATTCTTTGCAATGATCTGACTGTTTGATTCCCTATCCAACTCAGACACTTCTATTGACCATGATGAGTGACAAAGATCAGTGATACCGGGCCCCCAGGCCAGTGCCGGTCCATCTGTCATTTAGAACCGGTCCACACAAAACGAACGAATAACTGTCATTATTTCCTGATTAATTTTCCAATTCTAAGTTGTGTTTTATTTTTTTAAATGACCAGATTCTCTCCGTGACATCCACGTTTGACTCGCTCTTGACGTCTCTTGGCCACAACACCATAGCGGTCGCTTTTCATCATTCTGTCTCTATTCTCCCACTCTGCAGAATCTGTTAGTTCAATCTCTAACGTTCTGCTTTTTCCTCATAGTAGCTTCATCTGGTCTGTTCCTGTTTGGCTGTGACTCCATCCTGGAGAGAAATATCAGCTGTGCTGCTGCCATCAACACCTTGTTTCTAGATGTTGGAGATCAGCCTGTTTTTCAGTGTAGTCCTGTTTCTCTGACTGGATGTGCTCTCTTCATCCTCTGACATGGGAGCTGGCTCTGAGCTCATCTGCCTGGCTGTATGTTTCCTGGAGCAGGTTGACGGCTGACTTTTGTATCTCTGCTTGTTTTTCTATGTCTGCTTCTGTTTCCTTGAACCCCAGTCGGCCTCAGCAAATGGCCGCTCACACTGAGCCTGTTTCTGCTGGAGGCTTCTTCTTCCTGTTAAAAAGGAGTTTTTCTTCTCCACGGTTGCCACAAGCATGCTTGGTGTAAGGAATTGCTGTCTTGTCAATTAATCAATGCAATCAGGTGGTTTTACTTACTGCATAATCGGACTGATTTGTTGCAAGTGCCTTGAGATGACATGTGTTGTGAATTGACACTATAGAAATAAACTGAAACGAAACTAATTTAATAGACTGGGAGTTCATGCAACGGGCCTCATTAGTTCTCAAACCTGCTCGTACCACTGCACATTTTAGATGTCTTTCTAAAGCAACACATCTAATTCAAATAATTGCATAACCTTTAAGTGCTGCAGAAGCCTGTTAATCATTTATTTATGTAAGTCATAACTGTGGCAACAAGGATAAATCTAAAACATGCAGAGCAGTGGTACTTAAGGACAGAGGTAGGAAGTAACGAAGTACAAATAGTTCGTAACTGTACTCAAGTAGATTTTTCTGATATTTTTACTTTACTTTACTACTTATTTTTATGGCGATACTTCTACTCCTTACACTTTAAAAAATTGGCTCGTTACTTTAGTTTTGAATCATTTCAATGGAGTTACCGTTATTATTTTTTACGTCATCAATACCAAATTCAATCTAATTGGATGGGAATCTACGTTGCATTTGACGCACCACTACAAGATGAATCGACAGTTTCGGCGGTATTCATTGGCGGCAAATCATTGCAGCTCGGTGGCGGTGGCGTTAGCATAGTAGCATGGACGACGAGATGATTGAAAATGAACACAACGGAGATCTAGTCCTATTGGCAGACATCCATTTAAAATGTAGGCAACGGCCATCTCTGCTTAAGGACCAGAGCTAATAAACACTTTTCTGTTTTAGAGCTTTCAGGAATGTTAGAGACTTGGCACCCCCTAGTGGCTAAAGTTTACACAGTATAGTTTTAAAGGAAAAGTCTGGTCAGATGGATCATTATCTACACCCAGTAATCAAGTTGTAAATAAAAAAAAATGAAAAAAGGAAGGTGGAATTTTTTTTTTTAGTTTGGAAGTATACATAGCCTAATTGATATAGTCTATTAACCCAAACTGTGCATGGTCTGGTTGTTACATGTCAGGTATGCCGGTCATTGACCTTGACCAAGACACCTTACAGGAGAACTGCAGTAAGTCCCTGGATTGGCATGGCTATCACTGCCCCTACATACTTGGAGATAGGGATGGGGATCGAAAACCGGTTCCTGTTCAGAAGCGGTTCCCTGTGTTCCAATTCCATGGCACCGTCTGGCAGCTCTCTTAAAGGGAAAGGCCGTTTTTTTTTTTTACATTGGGCCCTTGATTTTACGTTATTACATCATGTTCTACTCACCCATATAAGTTTTGTATCATTTGGAGCCGTTCTGAAGATATTCCGTTAGGTTATATTCAAGTAACGTCTTCCTATGGGCAACGACTGGAAGGCAGAAACTAAACTGTTGATAATTTATCATTTATAGTACGCCAGCATTCATAACATGTAGGCGAATCACTGTCCCCAAGACATCCGTGGTTATATTTTTCATATTTATATCTTTTAAAAACAAAGCGGAGTGTGTATGACGTCATCCATGCGCCGGACTGGAGTTGTGACAGGCAACCCGGGCCACAGACGGCTACGCTCTACCCCTGCTATTCATTCGGCTAGCTAATCTGAATCGTTCAATTCCATTCCAGAAAAAACACGTAATTTGTAGCCAATATTTGGAAGAAGAATGTTTTCAAGATGACTTGGATAATAGCGCGTTGTGACAAACACCAGGTACAGCACTGGGACTTGATCAACAGCCAATACCGCACTGTGACGTCACAAACCAGTTGGTGGCAGTAGTGTTCTTTGACAAACATGGATGCCTCCAGTAAAGCACATTCACATGAAAATGACTCTTAATTAAAATTATTAATTAAACACTATGTAATAATATTATATTTAAAGTACTTTCAGAAGTTTGAATTCTTAATATGAACGGACTTTTCCTTTAAAACAAGCCAAGGTAAGACTTGCTAAATGATGCACGTATGACAAAACGACAACAAAATAAAGCGCTCCTTCATCTCTAAAGTCACCTGTTTTTTAATCAAGTTGTAGATTAAATGTCCTAACTCAATGTTGGTCATGAATTAACTTTTTCTTTTAACTCAATGTTTTGTTTTTGTTTTTTTCTTTCTATGTTGTCATTTATCTCCACTAATTGCTGGTTTCTGAATGTGTGATTCTTGCCACTACTTGCTGTAAATTGTATTACCCTCCAGGGACCTGATAACGGGAAGTGAAGAGGGCGTCTCAGCTTTATTACCCAGGAATTCTAACGCAAGAGTCAAGAGAAACTTGATCACTGTTTAACAAAGTTTGTTTTTACACAGGATGCTTTTATGTGTACAAGAATGAGTTCAGTTTGTTAATTATTTAAATCTTTGTTTTATTGTGGTTATCCTTTGGTAGTTTCAATTTCTCTTTTACTTTTAAAGTGATAAAACCTGTTTGAACAAGCACTGCAATCAGGACAGCTTCACGGAACAGGGTGTTTCACTTTGTCCACAAATCTGCCTGTGAAGAGGCAGGGCTTGAGGAAGGAAGTTTAGTTGGAGGCTATTTTTCTCTTACATACATGTGAACAGCAGTCAAGCACAACGAGGGCTGAACTATGGAAGGCAAAATGGATACAACTGAAGACAACTGCCAAGAGTTTGATAGGGACCTGTATGAAAATACCTTACTGCCTACTCTTTACATTTTGGTGTTAATTGTTGGACTGATGGCTAACGGATGGGGATTGAAGTCTTTGCAGCATAACTGGAAGAAACTTGGGGATATTAACATCTTTCTTTTAAACCTCGGACTTGCAGACATTTTGTACCTGCTCAATCTTCCTCTTCTGATCGTCTACTACCTTAAAGGGAGCGAATGGATCTTTGGAGAAACTCTCTGCAAACTGACAAGATTCTGTTTCAACCTGAATTTATATTGCAGCATTGGATTCCTCACTTGTATTAGTGTCTACAGGTACCTGGCAATCGTCCATCCCATGAAAACAAAGGGGAGATTAACGGTGAATCATTCCATGGGTATCTCAGCCATTGTTTGGATTCTGGTGAGTGTTCAAAGCCTTCCCGACATGTTCTTCCCCAAAAGGTATAGGAGCGATCAATGTTTTGACACCACCACTAATGATTATATGAAGGGTTACCTGGATTACACCATCATATGGACGTTCTTTGGATTCTGCATCCCTTTCCTCATCACTGTTTGGAGCTATGGACATGTCACCTATGTCGTCTGCAGCTCAAAAACAATTGACAAGAATGTGAAACGACGAAGCTTGAAGCTGTTGGCTGTTTTGATTCTTCTGTTCCTGATCTGTTATGTTCCCTACCATATATTCAAGAACCTAAACCTCTACTTAAGACTTCTAAATTGGCAGAAGAAATGCAGTAGCTGGGAGGAGGGAGTCTTCAAAGTCCGTCAGGCGACTCGTGGTCTTGTGAGCCTGAACAGCGCTCTCAACCCGCTGGTTTACCTGTATGCAAATGAAGTTATGCAGCTTCTGCAGCGGGGTCAACAGATGTTCAGGTGCTTGTCTCCAGCAAGGTGTCGCTGTGTGCCAGTATCACAGACAGAGAAAGAGGACTTTTAACACTGACAATGACACCAACATTGATATTTTGTAAAGTATTTCTGTTTTCTTTTCTTTGTATGCGGTTATATTGCTAGATCCAAAGAATGTAAGTAATAAATGACAAATTAACTTATTTCTTTTCCAGCTTCATTGTAACATTAATTCCATATTAATTAAAATCATATAAGAATATTTAACATGTTTGCTGTTTTCCCTTTTTCTCTTAGTTCTTCTTGTTGTATTTTATTTTTAAAATGTTATATTTTCTTTTTTTTTCACAGATTTGATATTTTATTTTTTCAATATTTTTGATAGTTTTACAGTTTTGCGTTCTTTTGAAAGTACATTTTACAGTTCAAATTATCTCCCCTTCAGCCTTTTACAAACGCTCTAGCCCGGAAGTCTTCAGCAGGGGGTCAGTGACCCCTAGGGGGTCCATGAAGGTATTGCATTGGGGTCGCGAAAGTTTTGGATGATTAGACCTTTAGTTTTTTACATCCCCCGCTGTAATTTGTTCCACTAATTGAAATATCTTTCTTCTTAAATAAACAATAACATGAATTCAACACACTGTAGTAAACAGATAAATGGAGGCAGAAGATGTCTTTCAGTCATCAATGCACACATTCAGAGACACACAGGAGCTCTTTCATGCTGGGCACCGTTTCATTCACAACACCTGTCCCATCAACCAGGAATCAGAATCAGAAATACTTTAATAATCCCAGGGAGAAATTACTTTAGTTACATTTCTCCATCTGTAATAGTGACTATAGGACCAGTTTGATAAAACACAATTTCCTACAATATATATAATTAGGGGGTCCCCGCTCCATCTCGTCATTAGTTTGGGGGTCCTTGGCCTGGAAAACGTTGAAGACCCGACCCTGATCTAGACAAATAAAGATGTTATTTCTAATGTCCATGCAGACATTAGAAATTACTCTTTACTCCTCTCTCTAGTGGGAAGCAACTCATAAAATACAATCTGAAAAAATATTAATAAATAAATAAAAAACTGGTAATATGAAAAATAAATTTGATCTAAATTAAGAATAATTAGCATGAAATCGGAAAAAAACATCAAAATTACTGTCAACTTGTTTTATTAATAAAAAATGCAGAGAGAAGCATATGGAGAACTGTTTCATTTGAAATATAAATAAATACAACTGTTAATAAATTGTTAATAAATTGTCAATAAATATTCCATTATTAAAATGTTAATCTTAATTGATTTTCTCATATTTTAAGATATTTTATTTTTTCAAAGATTTAGTCATTTCATTAATCTATTCATTTATTCCATAATGGAGTATTAGTTCATAACACTTTTATTTTGTAAAGCTACTTTTTGCATTCAGTGAATTTTACTTTAACTCTTTTTTTTTTTTATCTTAAGCTCCTTTTGTTTCATGTTCTTATATTCAAATAAGAAATTTTGTGAACTGAAGTACTCCGGTCATGATGACCAATCAGATCAAAACATTCCATCTTGGTGTGCTCTGATTGGTCCTGTCACCCGATCCATATCACCTCATTTGAGCATGTGCAAACAAATATTCTCCTCCTGTTTAATATTTTGCAGGCTAGCCCCTGCGTCACTACGGAGTCGTTGAATTCTTTCCAGCGCCGCCCATCAAAAAAAAACCTCATTTAAATGTAAGAGCATGAAATAAAAGGAGCTGAAAAATAGAGTTTGAGTTTAAAAATAAAAATCACTGAATATGTAAAGTAGCTTTACAAAGTAAAGTGTCACAAAATAATACTCCGTTATGAAATAAATGACGTAATTAATAAATCTTTGAATGAATCAAAAATCTTGAAATATAATAAAATAAAATAGGATAAAGAATAAAGAATGTAGCATAACATTAGGCTATCTCAGTCCGACTCAAAGATATTGACTGAGTTAGCCACTGGCATTGTGTCTAATGTTAGAAAACAGAAAGTAGAGCAAAATAGAAAACAGTTAACTGTGAAATGACAATGTAATAATTCTTAAGTGGACACTAGTTTTGTAGTTTTTGTAGTGTGTAGTATTTCTCATTGTAGTAGTTCTCATTTGAAAAAGTCATGTGCTGAAATATGTTGCATGTTATATTGAAGGAAAAAAAGCAACTCCAACATTTTTGAAGGCTAATGCACAGACACAGCATAAAAGCATATGACATCATGCATGCATAATTTGCAAATAGGAAAATATTATAGCATTAAAGGACATGTACTTGTATATCAGTCTTGATCTAAAGTCTTGAAATTATATGTAATATGTAATTACCTTAGCAATGTCATCAATACATTCATATTACATTTACATCATCAATTTAGCACATTTTGCAAATCTGTAATATTGTGCTCCATCACAATTTTGTGATGGATTTGTATAATGTCGATTTATTGACTTCATAATGACTATGCAATGTGATGTGCCTATTTTTTTAATAATAAATTAAAGTAATCTACTGATGCTATTGGATAGCCAGTGTGCGTCAAAGTGATGAATTTATCTTTATTTAAAAGTCTTAAGTCTCCCTGAAAATGAGAACACCATCGTTGTTTGATGCTGTAGCGCACAGATTGTTTACATTGCGACTGCTCTAACTAGGGAGTACCAATATGGCGGCCGGTGGCTTCACTTCAATCCCGTACTACCAACGGGCAATCAGAAATCTAGTGAATAAATATAGATCAGTGGTTGTGATTTGTTGGGTTGTATTAAAGCTGCACAGGTAGAGTATTCAAAATGAGTGCGGAGGGTAGTTTACTGTAATAAAAATGTTTATTGCCCATGATATTTTTTATTGATATTAGATTTAGGAAAAAAGCTATGTGAATGGGGAAAATAAATTTGAATGTTAAATGAATATATTGGAGAGAACAAATTTTCACATGGATAGAAAAAAAAACTGATGTTATTTGAGACTGAAAAAAAAGGGTTGAGAGAATTTAGTAAAAGACAAAATTAAAGATAAGTTGACATTTGAAAAATGATTTCCAAGCAAAAAAAAAGCTCAAATATTGTGATTTTAACAATGGGTGAGGACGAGTTGTTTTATATACACTGACAAAATTTTTGGCATTTAGTTCATATTTAGTTAATTTAACACAATTGTTTCATGTTAGCAGGGTAGGACAAAACAATATGTGTATATGTATGTATGTATATGTGTATGTGTGTATATTTATATATACGTATATATATACACGTGTGTACATATACATTGATATATGTATATGTATGTATGTGTATGGAAATACCTTTCCAAATTACTCTTTTTATTTTTGAGAAACTCTCATTATAAAGCAAACATGAAGGCAATTGTTCTACATTTGTAATGAAAGCAAATGATTTGTTCCATTGTACTTTGAATCCTGTTATCATCAGGTATCTGCCTTTTTTTCCCCCTTTAAGATCCATGGTCCGAACCGTGAGTGACGTGGGTTGCCGACCCCTGGCCTAGACTCATTGGAGTAATCAACTGATTGGGAGACTTGCACAACTTTTATTGTCGCTTTGTGTAAGCAGAGTATATACGAAATAAATTTTTGCTCTCTACAGCTTTCCGTGAGTGAATGAGTGGCAGTTTAGCAGTAAGATGAACATTTCCATATACATAAAGTGCAGCAGCGATCGAATGTAAACAGCGTGGGAGAAAAACATGGTGCAAAAATACGCATGGATATGGAAGTTCAGAGCATTGCAGAGAAAAAGATATGGTGCACAGATGCAGTAGAAAAACATTTCTTGATTAGGTGTTATCAGCGTGATGCAGAGTCTGATACTTGATTAAGAGTTTTTTTTTTTTTTTTGCAACAGTTCAGCAGTGTGATGGCAGTGGGGGAAAAGCTGTTGCCGAATCTGCTGGTCCTAAAGCGGATGCTGCAAAGCCTCTTCCCAGAGGGCAGCAGGGAGAAGAGTCCAAAGCAGGAGCAGGAGTGGGGAAAGGAGGCCGGCACAATGGGGGTAACCGAGAGTAAACAAGAAATACATCAGTGCTCAAATACAACCAGAAAAAAAATAGAATGACACAAAACAGAAATGAAACCAAATAGCTAAAAAACACAGAATGAGTCAAAAATTATCTCTTTAATGGTGAACTTCCCCTTAAGGTATAAAAGGGCTCTTTGTAGAGTAGCGTCGTTTCAAAATGGCCCTTCCCAGTCAACTGCTACTGTGCCCACTCTGAATGTTTCTATTAGAGGTAAAGGAGATGTTACTTCCCGAGGTTTCGTGAAACGACGTCCCATAATAGGATCAGGTAATCAAACAGGTACCCAGAAACACCACTGTGGCAGCAGAATTCCATCTGTGTGATGTGATTCCATGTAAGGGGTTTGATGCAAGATACAAAAAGGCTGAGGTATATATCTGTATTTTGAATCTGGCTGAGGTATATATCTGTATTTTCCCACGTGGTAAGCCTACATCTGAATCATGGTGTCCACATTGGCCTTTTGTTTGCTGGAATTCTAATCCTAGAGGTTGTGTTAATCCTAGCAACCAGTATATTCCTTTAGGTTTAAAAGATACGATAAGTTTAGTTAGAGCTAAAAGAACCAAAGAAACTTACAAACGAGGAGGAAATCCTTTAGTGCTGACAGCTAAAAACATGTGGGTTAATCCATGGTCAGCTGCTGTCCACAGGGACTTAGATCATTTTCACTTAATTTTAGGTGCCAATGTCCTTTGATAAGGACCTGATAGGAGTGTTTAAAATTCAGTTTGTAGACTCCAGCCTTAGGCTCCGTTTCTGATGCTACTGTGGATAGCTTCCTTCCAGGTACAGACACACCTTACCCACTGGTAACCTATTTGAACCTCTGTTTCTCAGATGCAATGATGCAGGTGGAAACAGGTTTTACAGAGAAAAACACTTGGCTTGAATGGATTACATTTATGGCTAAGTGACACAAAACAGAAATTAAACTAATGAGCTAAAATGAGTCACAGAATGAATCAAAGATGATCTCTTTAGTGGTAAATTTCCCTTTAAGGTATAAAAGGGCTCTTTGTAGAGTAGCAGTCGTTTCAAAACGGCCCTTCCCAGTCAAAAGCCAGCCGAATG